ATCATTTTTATTTATTACAAAATTTGTATTTAATCTAATCTATTTCGATAACCGAAATTATCCGGATGTCAAATAAAATTGATATAGGTGTTTAAAATTTTAAAAACACTGTTTGTATCAAATTTTACATCTTAAAGGCAAGATTTAGTAAAAAGTTTTCCTAGATTTTTACAATGCTTAGAAGTATTCAGAGCGAATGTGAATGAACAACGAATAAGTATTTAAATTTTTTGAATTTCAGTAGAAGGTAAAATGTAAGTGTTGCAATATAAATGTCATGTTTGCTGTACAACTGAATAATATGACATGTTAAAATTAAGGAACTCGCATAAGCTGAATAGGAAAACATGATACCATTTTAACACGGAAGGAAATGCGAAAATGTAAAAGCTATAGAAATACTAATGCAGTACACAGAATCAAAATAATTTATTAACCACCATTTGATTTCGCTTTTTATCTCATCATAATACAAGTTTTCGAAATACGTCAAACGATTGCGAGAATTCAATGTCATTTCAACAAAATATCTAAATTTATATTCAGTAACATTTCGAAAGTTTACATTAGTAATTATTAAGGTTCTAGCAGTTTAACAATGAAAAACATTTTAGGCTGTTCGCATGACACGACCGTTAAATTTGTTTACTTGCTGTTCCTTATTAGCCTTAAGTTATTATTGAAACTTATTAACTATTTTATTTTTTATTTATATCTTTTTTACTATTAAAGATACATATTTATAGTGTAATCATGTCCATAAAACATATAACAATTATGGCGATTAAACTATACCGTTAATCTGCACTAATTAATTTTTAGTTATAATAATTAAATTAATCAGCATTATTTAATAAATGTTAAGTAAATACATAATTGATTTAGTTCCAAGATTATAAAAAATACTTGTAAAAATAACCGACAACCAAAAACTTTGTTTTTTAAACGTTTTTTAATTAGATTCCCCGTTCCAATAGGCTTGATCCAATCTTATTTTACTGTTTTTTTTTATAAATACAAATACAATATTTCTTCTATTCTGTATTTTAATAGATTTCGGAAATAGATTTTTAAAAATATGCAATTTTCGAGTTTATTAATTAAAGTTTTATCAGTTTAATGTTGTTTCAATTTTAAATAAATTGAATACAAAAAAGAGTATTTGCAAACATAGGTTTTCAAAAATAAAAAAATGTAATTCCATATCAAGTTAGTTCGATTTTTTCTCTTGGTTAAAAAAATGGTCGTATTGTGTTCATTTTAATATTTGTAGTCATTGTCTGTAGCTTTTGTATACATTGTTTTTCTAAAATTTAAAATTTTTCTTGTAAATATTACCTGTTTTGTGGTTATTGACGTATTTTAATGTAACCTTCGAATATTTACAAAACACACATAGTTTTGTCTACGTATATTCAGGTGTGTTATAGTTAAACTCTTAAACTTAAAAAAACGCCAGTACAGTGTCTTTGCGGCATATTACTTTCAAGGTTACATATATAAATGTTTTCAACAGAATATCTGATAACACATTCGGATTCAACGTCCAAAATCCTTAAAGACATATATCAAACGGGTAGAAAATGTTTGAAATGATCCCCAGCAATAAAACATATCGATGTTAAAAATATAACTGTATGGTAATACTTGACGATCTTAGGCGATCTGTAAACCACGGTTATCTACTAGATAACTGTCTACTAGTAAACTAAGGGTGTATACTGATTACTGTACACGACTTATTGATAAGTACACCTAATATATTGCAGAGAATGCCTCAATTTATTATGCCATTTTTACAGATGTTGTTTTAGAAGAACACAATCATACGAGATGGATATCTAAGTCATATGTTCTGTGATCTTTTCCAATTAATTTCTTTAAAATTTAACGATATACCAAACATTTAGAATCATATTATTAAGAAAAATCTAAACAATTGACAAACACAAAGTATAAATATATACATATTTGTATCCACCATTGTAGTTGGTATTTTATGTAAGAACTTTAATACTGCTTATGTATTAATTTCATACATTTTTATTAGCGACAATGACAAATAAATATATATAGTTATTTTTGACGTTATCATTTAAAACTACGGACTGAATGTATCTAATGATTAAAACTGCTTCAAATGTAAACAACGATCAAAGTTAATGAGGAGTTATAATAATACCGAGCTATCTTTAGTTTTTTCTAGGTTTTTTAGCTATTAAATATCACAGCACATGCTTTGAGTCGCGTAGGAGTAGGTAAAGAAATCACATTTTACTGAGTTTACCTCTCACAGCAGGTTTGACGCATTGCACCACAATGGTTTTTTTTCAGATTAAAACTTATGATCACACGGCATTTTCTTTTTCTTAATAAAGTATAGGTTGGTGTTTCAATGTACCCGTTGTAACTATAATATAGATACAAAACAACCTATAAAATTTGTTTTATTCTTATGCTTAGTATAGCTATCATAAACAAAGTATTTGCTGATTTTACCTACAGATTTTAATATAGTCACAGCACAGTATTTAATTATCACACCTCTGCCTGCATCTTAAGTGGTTAGAATAGGTAATAATAGTGCATCATTTGTAATTCAAGTGATAAAAACCAATAGGGTTACGGGTCACAAAAAGCTGTTGTCAACATTTTGATATATTCAATAAAACCCAAATTAAATGGGAAATCAAATTTTAATCATATTAATTAATTTCTAGGTTGCTCTGCGAGATTGAATCAACAGTCAATAGGTGTTTGCAAAATAGTTTCATTATGTTGTTAATTACAATTTATGAGAAACAGCGGCAACAAATGATTATTAATAGATAACCAACTATAATCGTATCCGCCTTAATACTATTTTAAACACATAATTGTCATTACAATGATTTTGTTGTTATTTGTACTTCTGGAGATTAAAGCATATTTTTTAAAATGACTTTATCAATTTCATATTCAGTTATAATTATTTTTGTAGTTATCCTATCCTCTTCAGTTCAATGCTGTTTTAAAGAAAATATTGGAATCCCATATTATCATGTTGAAAATTTTAGCCATTGTCGGTAACTCGCATACTTTGTTTTGTTAAAATTTAATATATTTTTTTTTTACAAATATTCGTCGATATTATCTGTTTTGTGGTTATTGACATATAATGTAACCTTCGAATATTTACAATAGAAGCATACTCTTGTCTATGTATATTCAGGTGTTACATAGTTAAACTTTAAGGCTTAAAAAAACGCCAGTACTGTGAGTTTGGGGCATAGTGGGACGGGGGAGATCACGGGTCTATAGGATTTTTTTTTAACCGAAAATGATACAATCATTATCAAATAAACGATTCGATGCTTATATGTGTATATATGATAAGATATGCACAATTTTGGCATTATTTAAACATTATTTTGAATTTATTATCTTAAATATTTCAAGGTGACTCATAAGATAATACATTTTAAAAATGTGGTTATATGTTATGAATTTACGTCGAACTGGCTGAATACTTAGAAAAAAGGCCGTCACAAACAACTGTCAATCAAGCATAAATGAAAATGACTCTAAGACTCTGAAAAAGAGGATCCTCTTTTTCAAACCAATCAATTCGTACATAACCTTCATATTTTTGGGTTATTATGAAATATGTTATTATTCGAACAATACACGCACACAATATTTTTCTGTTTATGTACTACAACTTAGATTGTTCTTAGGCCTCTCACTTGAAATTATCAACCATACTCCGAATTTGAATTTTTATAAGAGATTTCAATTTCTGACGAGTCTTTTAAAAATGATACCATATCCAATTTCATATATTTAATACTTTTAATTTTTTCTCGATACCTTTTACTGTAAAAAACTGGTTTAAAATTAAATGTTATTTATCATTAGTCTCTAGTTTAATCAAAATGGATATATTTTTTTCGATTATTGGGCTCGCGGCAAAATGGATGCAGAATCAAAACATTTATAGGCGTGTCAGATTTGAATAAAAACCGCATTAAAATAACCGGACCAAGGAAGGGGGAAAATGAAGCGCCATTTTACCGCCTACAATAGAACCTGATTGGTTTCCGTTAAGTTCTTATACATCTGGAATAAAGTATGTTTATCCTATGTAAGCACAATATTGCAAAAAAAATATTACTCGCAATTTAAGAAAATGCGGCAAGTGGAGGAGAGTCGCCAAACTAACTACATAAAGTCAAACCGAGCATAAACTGTTTTAGTGTTATTTTGAGTCACTTACACATAACTTGTCCAATAAAGTTTATCAAACAAATACGGAGTAAGTAATATTTAAAACTATTTTTCGTCGATGAAGCTTTTATATTTTTTTGTATTGTCATTATAGAACCTTTGTTCTGAAGTTAACATTTACACACTGTGATTTATCTGATGTAAGACACTCATTTTCTTGGAAAATATGATATATTTTGAAAATTATTTTTTCCCCATACTTTAGTTACATACTTAACTATATTTTTCAATACTTAGAAATCTCATTTCTCGCTTATGCGTAAAAGAGGTATATAAGTATAGACTTCGTATTTTCAAATGGAAAAAAATGTTTTTAATTTCATAAATATGTAGAAAAAAAATTGGTAGGGTTCGAATTTTTAATTTTCATCAATCTCTTCGTTTGTTCTGACATTGTAAATATTTGCATTGAAGATCAATATTTATTCGGTTTGACAACAGTAGCAAAATAACTTCCCATTAAATAGTAATTTTCACCCCGTCGGTAACACTGTTATCTTTACTGTGTTTAAATTCAACGTAACGAAAAAATTGGGAAAATGTAGGTGGGTAATTACAAGAATTAAAAAATCAATGTTTGATAAATATTGGTACCCTGTCATTTTATCAAAAAAACTCTATGGAAATGGTTAAATTTGCGATAATTTGCTCAAGATTTTTATTTCATACCACCATTATTAAGTATGTTTGTCGATTAAAAATAATAAATATAAATGGTTTTTTTTTTGTTACAGGTATTTACCATGAACTCAAACATGCGTCATCGTTGTGTCGTGTTATTTGCAATTTTTTTCTTTGGCCTTATCGTAAGTGATAGATTCCATTAAAACATAACAAATATGAATATTATTCGAATGTATTAAACTATTGGCAATTGTTTTGTGTTTAAAGAAACATACATTTTTTCACTAGGTTTTAAAAGTATTAGTATCAGCTGCAACTAATGACTGCAGTCATTTAAGTCTTAATACATCAGACACTGGGCAATTCCCACAGCCTCTATAAGTTCATAACAAATTTTCTTAGACCTATCTTCACTGAAGCTGCAAAACTGTTATACTTTAATACAACTGGTATTTAAGGATAGTCGTCAAGAACTCTATGATATTAATAACACTAATACTATGAATGTATGTATGTCATTCAGATTTCATTAGATGCGGCTCCGAAAAGCGGGGAAAAGCGAAAGAAGGGGTCCTCCTCAAATGCTGCAACGTCCGAGAAAGAGGAGGATTCGCAGGCTATAAAGAATCTGGAAAAAAATATTTTAATTCCACGTTTAGACAACTGTTTTTCAGATAACAAAATTAATGAACCCTGTGAGTATCTAAAACATTATTTCGGTTTATTTTTGTCTAATCGAAAATAGGAAATTGATCAATTTTTATTCAAGTGATCAGATTTCCGTTCTGTGGACTCCACTGCTTTCTGTTTTTTTTTGGTTTTTAGGAAACCTATATTTATATGAGTAATTTTGGATGAGCATTTTATGGCACATTTCATTCGTGGGTTCAATGAATATTATTAAAAAACGATACCTTACTATCTTAAATAGGACCCTGAATCTAGCGATTTCTATTTGATGACACAGTTTACTTATAAGTTATACAGTAGTACAACAGTTTTTAAAATGTTGTTTAATTTTTGTCAACAGCTGAACGACCTATATGGAAACCATTCATTCTTGTTCAGGTTTTAGCTGCACAAAGATTAATATTAACCGGCCAACAAGACGAAATAGACCAAGCGACTCTTATATTAACTAACGCAATACAATCTATGGCTATAGGTGATAATGAAATATACCCTGATAAGGAATCACTGGATCACAATTGGTCAAGGTGGGACGAAATCCGAAAAGATGAAAAAGAGGATCTTATAGAAGATATGAATAAGGCCATCGAAAAATTTGTATTGGACTTAGGGGGGGGAAAAAAAAGAACAGCTAAGAAAGAAGAGAAAAGTAAGAAAAAAAAGAATGGCTAAATTCAACATTTATGTTTTTAATCAACAATATTTTTGTTTTATATAAAGATAAACTTTAAATAATTGTATTTATTACATGTTATTATATTGTCATATATGAGATATTAAACGTCAAGTTGCACACTATTTAATTTTTGCATCTTAGATTTTGTTCATTTTTTTTATACGTAGTTTTATAGACGAATTTATTACAATATTGATATATCAAAAATCACAATCTAGAGCATATCTATTAAATGTGTGACCTAAAAAAAATCTAATAGAATGGGGAACCGGCAATACGTCGTTACGCCACATGGGTATATTGTCATAACCGAACAAAGATAGTGTAAAACCACTTACACGAAAAAGTGAAAAATACAGCCGGCTACAACTTCGGAGTTCGACTAGGTTGCATAGAACGTACACTTGCATAAGTAAACGGATAAGAGTAGATGAAAAACAATAACAATGAGACGCTAAAACAGTACTGTTAGTTATTATAGAACAATTATATATATATTATAAATTAGTCGATTATTTTTTTCGTAAAAAGGAGACAAGCAAATACTTGTATATAGTTCCCATCTACGCAACACAGTAAAAAAAAGGTAGACTTGTACTTTGTGATTCTAAAAAACCATCTTACGTTTCTAAGGTGTACGTTATTGTTTATAGAAACAATAACATTGGCACTTTTAGTACTACAGTCAGAGATGAACAAAATGGATACAATCCGTAATCGATTACAGACGGATTACGGATTACTCGTAATCCACGATTAAAAAAAAAACTAGACTACATTTACTTCAGTAATCCTACATTTTTGGATTAAGGATTAAATTTAATCCAGTAATCCTTAGTTAACGGATTACGGATTACATTATTAATCCAGTAATCCCTAGTATACGGATTACGGGTTACATTATTAATCCAGAATTTGAAAAGTTTGGATTATTTTATTTCAGTAATCCCGAGTTTCGGATTACGGATTACTTTTATTAATCCAGTAATCCCTAGTATATGGATTACGGATTACATTATTAATCCAGTAATCCCTAGTATACGGATTATGTACATTATGTACATTATTAACTTAGGATTTTTGTTTTATTCCAATAACCCAAATTTAAAGATTACTGTTTTTTTTTCATTCCAGTAATCCAAAACATTGTACTTAAATAATATATATTTTTAAATTAAAATGTATTTAAATCATTTTTTTCTTTTATGGAGAGCTGGGAGGTATTGTTTTTACAATAATGTGTTTTATTTTTACTAGGAGTAAAACTAAACCACTGAGCCGATTTCTGCATACATAAGTCTAAAGATTTCAAAATTTTAAATGTAAAATGTTAACTTGATTATGGTATGATATCATACCATTTCAGATTATAAAATTAAACAATAATAACAAAATAATTTATATAAAAAATTTAATAAATTGAGAAAAAAGTGTTGTTATATAAAATGTGTTTAAGCTAGATAAACTTGAGCTTTGTTAAAGTACCTACTAAGGCAGAGTATACTAATTAATTATTATTTGTAATCCATAAAGCCGCCATTTTGAATAACGGATTACTTGGATTAATTAAAAAATAATCCAGTAATCCAGGATTACTGGATTACTTCTAATCCATGATGGAATAATTGTAATCCGTATTCGACTATTTGTAATCCATAATTTCGATGTATTGGAATAACGGATTATTTTTAATCCACGTAATCCGGGATTACTTAGATTAATTAAAAAATAATCCAGTAATCCGGGATTAATAATTCTGCCCATCTCTGACTACAGTTCATATTTTTCTCCAGACCCCGCTTGAAGTTTCCTGTTAACAGGCGAGTAGATTGTGATAGGTTTGAAGTAAATTGCAAAATTATAGTAAAATTGCAATATTAATTTAAGTATTAATTTAGACATTATTTAAAAAAGCAAATGTGAATTGGATGACACTTAACATCTAGATTCTAGTAGAATAATAAGAAAAAATTAAAACAACGATAACAGCAATAACAACAAATTATTTTATGATATTGCAGAGTATTTACTATTTATAATGACAATATTAAAATATGTTTATTAAGATTTTTTACCAAAAAAACTTTGTTTTAAATTTGAACACACTAAAGTAAATCTGAAAATTAGTATTGATACGGTAAAAATAAAAATAAAATGTTTAAACTGACTTTAATTAAGTACTTAAGAAAATTTTAGCGTGGAAATTTTAGCCTTGGCCCTCCAGCCCGAAAACGACACTAAATAGTTACACTAAATAGCGATACTTAAGAGGACGCCACACCGGCCATTTCTAAGGAGTAAAGTATAGGCAATTTTTCGAAAAATGTTAATTTAGAGTTAGAACTATTAAAGTTTATTAATACAGTAATGAGGATACTTTGTTAATTGCCATTTTTTTGTCAGACTATCACAGTCATTTCTATATGATCAAATACAATTGTTTTGCCATCAAAACTGCTTTGCGCGGATTAATTTTTCTCAGTCTTTATACATATTTAAAGAAATAAATTCATACATATTATTTATGACAAAATTATCTATGTTCAATCTTCTGTATTGTTTCGATATATCTAATACAACCAACGCTATATTATTTTTTAAAAAGTCAAAAAAATCCTTTTTTTTTTTGGAAGAAAATAACGGGTGAATGTATGAAGTCCTCTTAAGTATGCCATCGAAACAATAACGAGTCGTCGTTTTCATGCAAACGTTTGGCCAGAATATATAATTAAGACTATATTATCATCAACTAAAATCACAAGGATATTATAGATCAGAAATAATCAATATTCAGGAGCCAGCAAGCTAAGGCATGTTCCATGTTTTTAAGTTTTAGCCGTTATGCTTTAAGTAGACTGTAACTTTTTTTTAAATATTATTACGAAACCTGATTTCGCTCACCTTTGTCTCGTTATTATTTTTTAAAACTTAAACAAAACAAAGTTTTGAGTTGGATGAAAAAAAAAATCTTATGGAAGTGAAAGTCTGACATAAAATAAATTTATGACGCTAACTCTATCTGGACCCCTCCGTCCTTTATGTCTCTTGAACGACGTGGGGAAATTGATGGAGCTCCTGCTGGTCTGCCGGCTGGAGAAACATTTGGATGAGAGAGGCGGACTCTCCGATCGACAGTTCGGCTTCTGGAAGTGGAAGTCGACGGAAGATGCTGTGCGTATGCTCCGGGATGAGGTCCGGACAGCGATCAACGCGCGTAAAGTATGTGTGGCCGTCAGCTTGGCCGTGAAGAACGCGTTCAATTCGATTGGCTGGCGCCACATCATGCGGGCCTTACAAGAGTGGGAGGTGCCGCTGTACCTGCAGCGCATCTTTTGGTCCTACTTCTCGGAGCGAACAGCCAGGATCGCGTGCCCAACAGCCGATGGCGGCGAAGTCACTGTCGAAGTATCGCGCGGCGATATCCCGTAAACCACTGAACCGATTTCTTCGTGTAGCAACTTTATAGATCAGAAATCATACCTGAAAGGTACTTTACAGGGTAAAAATTTTTAAAAAGTCACCCCTTCCCCATCAAAATCGAGAAAAACACCCAAAAAACATTAACAAAACAAAAAAATTTCATAAACCCTCTCCCTTAGAAGGGATTGAATTTTTTCTTTATTTCTCTTTTTCAAACAAAGTTTTTGAGATTTAGACCTGAAAATTAGACCGAAGGTAGATCTAAAATGGAACTATAACATATAAAATGTTCTCAAAAATCTGTAGTCAAATTTTTTTTTATTAAGGAATAACCCCAAAAACAGGGTAAATTTACACTTTGGCCGTAGTCAGTTTCTAGGTTGCTACGTGTGAGTGAATCAACAGTCAACAGGTTGAAATGGCCCAATAGTTGTATAAACGGTCCTTTTCAGAACCAACACATACAAATTAAGTATATCGTGGCGCCGTACCGTACAGTAGACAAAATAAAGGCCTCTGATTGGCCGACCAACTAGAGCGCGGAGTCAGTAATTAAAAAACACATAAATACGGCGACGATTTTAACAACCGACACACACACATTCTTCTTGCGTCTCTCGTACCGATCACAAGTCCTCTGACTAAGTCTCGCTACCACAGTGCCGCATCTACCCAACTGCTGAGGGACCGCGCTCTCTCATTGCCGCAGTATCTTTCGCACCCTATGCTGTCGTGGAGCCGCGCATCCACATTGCCGCAGCACTGCCCAGTAGACCGACATCCCGTCGTCGTCGGGCCGCGCCCCGACATTGCCACGACACACGCCGACTCTACGCATCCGTACACTAAACCACCGCCGTCGCACGCTTCTCGCGTTCGCCAGGGCTCGCCCCTGCCGACGGACAGTGTTATCTGTACCTCAGTTCCGCTAACCACGATGGGTAAACCACGCAGTGGGAGAAAGCGTAAAACACCTCCACCACGTGACTCGCCGTACACGACCGCGAAGAGAAACATTCCGCCGTCGGGTATAAGTGACAAACGTAAAACCGTCTCAACCTCGGAAAAAACCGTGCCGTTAAGTGACACCGCACAAAAACATCTGAGTCCAGACCACAATACCAATACAACTCCAGAAATATTAGATTCTGAATCTACCTCCGGAGAATCAATTATGTCGACTTCATCTGGCAAATCCAATGCAACTCACCCTGATTATAAACCGGTAAGCAAACCTAGTTCACGTATTCCACCAATTTTTGTACAAACTCTACCTAGCTGCCCCTGGCGCACACTCGCCAAGAACATGTTTGCAATACCCGGCCTAGATCAGGTCACGGCAAAAACCACCTCAACACCATCCCAAATACAAATCAACTGCCCAGACGAATACTCATTCAGAACAGTACAATTGTACTTGTCAGATAACAAAGACAAGGCTTCATACCACACATTTGCTCTGCCGAAGGACAAAAACATCAAAATAGTTATAAAAGGACTTCCACTAGACGTCACCGAAGACGAACTTAAGGATGAATTAAACGCATCAGGTTACGTAACTAATTTCGTCAGAGCGTTCTACAAAAACAGCAAAAGAATCCCTATTCATATAGTTTCTCTGAAGAGAACAGAAAACGTGAAAGAAATCTTCGACGTCACCGACATTTTTCACCTCAGAGTCAGCATAGAGTCCTACAAAACATCGGGACCAGCTCAGTGCTTCGGCTGCCAACGCTTCGGACATTCCTCTTTACAATGTGGCCATCCTCCCAGGTGCGTTAAGTGCGGAGGAGACCACCAAAGCAAGGAATGTATAAAAACCAAAGAAGAACCACCGACATGCTGTAACTGTAAGGGCCAGCACACGGCTAACTACCGGGGCTGCCCATACTACACCGAAACGAACAAAGCCACCCCCACGAAGACCGTCCTAAACCAAACCAATCAAAAACTCGTGACCGACCGTTCAATATTACGGAAACAAACCCACATCAAGCAAGTACTAGCCATACAGACACCGCCAGTAGCTCAGGTACCGCTAGCTCCACTGGTACAACAACCACTCCAGATACCGGCGACCCACACAACAACCATGACCTACGCCGAAGCCACAAAACCAACCCCACCAACGAAACCCGTCATCCAAGCAAATGTAATATTAAAAATAATAAAAGACCTGCTGACAACAGCCCAAAAATGTGAAGACGCCGCATCTAAAGATGCTATCATAACAACAGTCATGAAAATATTAAACGCCATACCAACAACTCAAGATGGATGAACTAAAAATACTATCATGGAATTGCAACGGGATTGAACAAAAAATACCTGAACTCACAGCATTTGTCAATGAAAACAAAATTGACTTAATTTTACTTGGAGAAACCCGTATCAGACCAAAACGCAAATTGACAATCCCAAACTATTTTACATACAGAACCGACCGTCCGAAAGTAACAAACGCACCAAACGTTGGAGGTACAGCCATACTTATCCGAAAAAGCATAAGCCACCAACACGTCATACTACAAACTAAAATGGACTCCACAACAATACAGGTTAAAATAAACAATAAGACAGCGCAAATTTCGGCCGTATACAAAAGTCCCACTGCCATACTCCACGTTAGCGACCTGGACACGCTGACCAACCATGACGGACCCTTCCTGATAGCAGGAGATCTAAATTCAAAACATCCGAGCTGGAATAGTCGGTTAGCAAACACAGCGGGAAGAAAACTGTTACGACACTCTGAGATAAACAAGTACGCTATAGCTGGTCCTGACTCACCGACATACTACCCATATAACAAAAAACACCAGCCAGATATGTCTTAGACATAGTTCTATTGGACCTCCAGTCAGCCCAGTACAGAATAACCAATCACAATGACCTCTCATCGGACCACAACCCGATACAAATAAACATTAAAGGAAATCCACTCTCAAATTACCCACCAAAAACTACAAAGAAAATAAAAACCAACTGGACAAAATTTAAGGAGGAATTAGCACGAAAAACTAAAATCGAACGAGTTAAAACACCGGCCGAAGTAGACAGCAAAATCGAGCAACTAACCAATTCCATCCAAAAAGAAATAAAGAACGCCTCCTTCACAATTAAACAAACAAAATCAAAACCAAAACTTCCGGATGAAATATTACTCGAAATTGAAACAAAAAGAATACTCCGTAAAGTGTGGCAAAATACGAGAGACCCAAACACGAAAAAACTGTGTAACGCGCAAATCAAATATGTCAAAAAACTACTAACTGAACATAGACAAGAGGCATGGGACAATTTCACAGAAACGTTAAATTTCAAAAATAAATCACTCTATCAACTAAACCGCCGCCTCCTGAACAAAAAACCTGCAGATACTCCGCTACAAACAACAACAGGGGTCAAAATATATGAAGCAGATGAGAAAGCAGAACTATTCGCGGATACAATGGCAAGCCAATTCACAAACAACCCGGGAGAAGATATACGGGAGGTGACTCAAACGATAGCGGAAGTGGATCGGGACTGCACCGAAATAACTGACTATATCTCACCAAAACAAATCAAAACCATTATCAACAAATTACCAATTAGCAAAGCACCTGGACATGACAATATATCAAACTTGGCCTTAAGGAACTTACCGGACAACATAATAACTCAGCTATCTTACATATTCACGGCAAGCATCCGAACAGCCTATTTCCCAACAATGTGGAAAAAGGCAATAGTAGTAATGATCCCAAAACCAAATAAAAACCATTCAAAACCGGAAAACCACAGACCGATATCGCTTCTGACCTCCATATCTAAAGTCTTCGAAAAAATTATACTCGTTTATCTGAAAAAACACATCAAGCCGAGACCAGAACAGCACGCGTTCAGAGAAGGCCATTCCACCACCACACAGCTCGTCCAACTGCTTCAAGACATCCAAAGCAATAGAAACAATAAGAAGCGAACCGCAGCAGTATTTTTAGACATAGAAAAAGCGTTCGATCGCGTATGGCATCAGGGGCTAATCTACAAACTAAAGACAAACACACAATTGCCGATACACATTATAAAACTAATAAAATCATTCATAACAGGGTGGACATTCCATATCCGTGTAGCCGACCAAATATCTGCATCCCGCCACATCGAAGCTGGTGTACCGCAGGGTTCGTGTCTGTCGCCAATACTGTATGTACTATACATTAACGACCTACCGCTAACCGCACACTCCAAGACAGCAATATTCGCGGACGACACCATGTTCCACTCAGGCAATCAAAACACTAACTTCGCAATACTCCAGCTGCAAAAACAACTCGACCTTGCCGCAACATGGATGGAAAAATGGAGGCTCAAGCTCAACGTCGATAAAACCGAAGCCATCCTATTTGGGGCCCTACCGAGCAGAAAAACGAAGAAAATAACTATACAAAACCAGCCCATCGAATGGAAACACAAAATAAAATATCTTGGCATAACACTTGACCACAACCTCAAAATGCACCACCACGCTACAAACACCATACAAAAGGCAAAGGGCGTCAGGGCCGCGCTATACCCAGTGATAAACAGCAGATCACCCATACCAATGAAAACCAGATTACAAATATACTTAATATACATCAAACCTGTCCTACTCTACGGTTCGGTAGCATGGAGCGCACACATTAGCAACACCAAATGGAAAAAACTAGAAGCGGTACAAAACATCGCCCTGCGAGTAATAACTGGCGCAGACTACTACCTAACAAACGAAAATTTAAGAAATTCAACTCAACTGCCATCCTTATATGCAGCAGCAGAATCAGCATTAAAAATATACTTCCACAGAGCATCAGTATCAAAATTTACGCACATACAACAATTAACAGAATAAAAGATACTCACACACCCAAGAATAACAAAGAATAACCACAACGCCAAAAACAACATTCAGGTTAACTTCAACCAAGAGAGAAAAGGCTAACGCCTGGAACTCTATATAGGCCACAGGCCGTCAAACAAAGGCAAGTCCAAGTCCAACCGACACATTCCATCTCCAGTCACCGAAACGTTCAATTCAACACTTCAATCGAATTTGGACAAGTCGGACTACTGGACCTCTTCAACCAAAGACGATCTCGCCATCAGCCAAGCAGACAACGAGTTCATCCGCCGTATAGCAAGCCACCGACGTTTACCGAAGAAGCGTACGCGACCAGCCGGACGACACCGAGAGCAGACGAACGGCGCCGACACCACGTGAAACCACGCCACCGGCCATCGACCTTCCGAAGACCGCCGCACGAACGCGTCCATCAGCGCCGCCAACTCAACACTCGTCGCCGACGCGTATTAGCTGCCACGACCGCGCCGCCGACGCTGCCAATACCAGCCGCCGCACATTCGAATCGTCGTGGTCCTAACCACCGAAGAGCAACGCGTGCATCTAGCATTAAAACAGCCGTTGCCACGGCTACTTTAATCGTCCGTTTCAAGACGCTAAATAGGAGATAAGCGCCTTCTGGTGTAAAACCCTGGTTACGGTAAAACTAACCATCTCTCGGTCCAACTCAGACCATAGTAAAACGAGTATCAAAACAGCCGTTTTTACGGCTAACATAACCGCATAATTGTGCGAGTGCCCCGATAGGCCGGCGCTTATTTGAGCGTCGCTTTGGGACGTATAGTCGTACGTCTTGACCCGCAGATACTAACGCTTATTAGAGCGCGCCCCCGTAGGACGGCGCTTAATTGAGCGACGCTCGGCCGCATAATCGTGCGTGCCCACCTCCCGCCGCTACCAATACCGTAAGCGGATCCCCGGGTGATAGGCTGGGCTAGAGGGCTTAGTTGAGTCGCTCTAATAGTGAGGGTTGCATAGTTGTGCAGACCGCGGGCGAATTAGGCGACCCACCAACCCCACATTTGTAATTCCCAATACGATTCTCGAACCCTGACACCAAATGTAAAAAACTTTGTAAATTATATTTTATATTATCAAATAAATTGTTCTGAAAACCAAGTAGAGTTTATCATTGAACAAAAGAAGTAAGGTCCAACGGCAACAACCGTAGGACCGCTTCAACTGGCGCTCAACGAAAAGCTCGAACCAAGACCCGATAAGATGACAAGAAAGAAGAATAGCTTGAATAGGTCTGGAGTCGACATGGATATAACTAAGGAAGAAGTGTCCACTCGATTAGATCACTTGGAATTTATAAATACCGAGTTAGAGAAAGAAAATCTTGTTTTAAAAAAGAAAGTGCTCGAATTAAGACAGATGATTAATAATATACACGAAGAACTGAAACAAAATATAAACGATGCGGACACAAGCATAATATTAGAAAAAGCAAAGCGAGAATCAGAGATCAAACTTTTAAAAGATGAAATAGAGACATTAAAAACAAAAACAGTGGAAGGAACCACTCCAAAATCCGGAGGACTGCTTCAAGGTAATGAAAATATTTTCATTATATTGTTAATGACGATATATGGGTAACTATGACAGTACATTTTTATAGACAGAGATCAACCCTTATCGTATCCACCCTGCAGAAGACTAAATATTAAATTTTAAATATCTTCTTAACCGCTATAACTGGTTTGAACATACTATCCACAAATTCGCATCGAAGCGTTTATTTAAAAGTGATTTTATCACTTTCAGTTATAATAAAATGTGTAGACCTGTGACCTCTCCGTCCCCACTATGCCCCGACCCCACTGTACTGGCTTTTTTTTTTTGTTCTTAAAATTAAATTAAATTACATTTTAAGAACAAAGTTAAAAATACGTAATTCATCAATAAATAAATAACCCTTTCCGATATCGCTTCTTTTTTTAATTAATAAGACAATAAAAAGAACTGGACATTAATGTTGTACAATATATATATTAATTTAACTGTACTCATTCCATCTTTAAACTATGACGTAAACATTCGGTTTGAGTGTCCAATAAAACAAGTTTTATCAATTTTAAAAATGCCAATTGCTTTGTGTTCCGCTAGATTTTAAAATATTTGAAATGGCGGAGACCATAAGGAAGGTGGAAATTTTTCAACAAATTAGGGGTCTCGTTTTAGGCCAATACGAACCAATAAGTCATTAATGATAGGACCATGAGATAGGTGTATAATCTATTTTAATTGGATTTTGTATAATTTCGCACACTAGAAAATGTGTTTCAAAAGTTACACTGAGTTCAAAAGTTATTTTGTAGTTTTTTAAATGTGTATATTTGGAGGCACCTGCCCAAGTGTCGCTAGATTCCAACGTCACACCAAAACCACAGCGGTCGATATCACAGCTCTTCAGCCGTAAGAAATAGCCATCCACCTTTCGCACAAAGGCTAACTTCTATGTGGAGCTAATAGAGTTTTTTACATTTTATTATTATATGTTACTGTTTTTGTTGTAGTTTAATATATATATATATATATATATATATATATATATAATTCAATTTAATGTATTAACATGACTATAGATTATATAATATTTTCAAACATAAAATCATTGGTTCATGTAAGTCTGTAATTAAACTTATTATTTATCCCATCCCAAATATTATGACGTTGTGTATTGGCTGATAAGTTCTGTCAGCAGACATTTAGATCGATTTTCGATTGAATGTTATACTTGGCTTTAAGGTCTGAGTTAAATGTAAATACCATAAGACGTATTCATCATCCAACGTCATTCCTTCAAGGAAAAATCTAATCATTTTGTTGAAGAGAAAGTGGAAAATTGTTTTAATGTTTCCTATAGAAAGATCAACTATATTATTAAGGTATATTTGTCTTATAAAAATTAAATGAATATCCGAAACTATCCGGATAATTTTTAACTATCCGGATTTCGGATATCCGATTATCCGGATAGGCCCAACCCTAGTGGCCAGTGTGATATATCACTTTCTAGAGTCCTAATTTTTATAAATAGACCCAATAATTTTTTTAATAAGTAGAAAATCTTTATTATATTTATAGAAGTTTTAGACAAAAAAGAAACATAATATTAAGTAAAGTATTAGATGTTTATAAAAAAGTATAGGAACCTAATTTTATTTTTTTACCTAAAGAACACGTTTTTTTGAAAACTTTTTTTTAGTCTAAATCCGACAATAGGATTACATGAATACAAATACAACAAAAGCAAGAATATTTATGATTTAATAGGTGTGTTCGCTATAAGTTTGCTGCTGCACAATGAACTAAATTCAAGCTTCGCACAAAAAACGTACACCTGTTGTCTACACAATTATTTTCAAATAAACTCTGTCAAGTATGCAAAAAAATAGCGCGCTATTGTCTTAAAACATAATATACCATTCAGCTTACAAAACCTTTGGACGGTGTATTGTTTTTTTCCAAGCGTTTTGTACAGTATTCATAAATCATATTATTACGTATAACACTAAGATATTTATTATTTGTACTTCTTATATCGTTTTAAGGTCAACTCCAGGTATGTAATATATTTCATAGACGACTACTAAAATTGTATTCAAATAATCCTAAGCGATAAGATCTGAACTCAGTTATGAAAAGTATCGCAATCTACGTTGTTGTTTGCTCACTTAAAGATGGTCCTATAAGTTATTTATTTTAAATTCGCAAACCTACTTACTGACTAATTTAAAATGTCTAAGATTACAAGCTCTAGAAAATTCTGTTGGGCGCTAATAAGGTCTGTCCTTAATTTTATATTAAACGCTAAATATGTTTAACGAATTTACAATTAATAAACCATACTGCACTCGTGCAATACAATTGTAATTATTTTATTTACAGAACTAAAATTAACTATAAAAAAATGTTTTCTGCAATCGCTGGACACTAATTCATACTGAGAATGAACAATACAAATTCTTTTTTTAAAATAATTACTATTTCTTTTTAGCATTTTCTGACCCTTCCGTGTGTGCATCGCCTTCGTCCAGTCCACCCGGTTCCCAGCAAATCGAGCACACTCACTTTTTATGCAACGACATTAAAAATCTGTATCTAAACGAAAGGTATGTGTCAAATTACGTCATTTTATAATATTAAAATAAGATTCAATTAGATGCAAAAGACTGGAGATTTTTAATTATTAAGAACATTACATTTAAAAAAATATGAACTAGTAAATTAAAAGAATTTTTAAGGGCAAATATACTGTTTTCCTTATTGACTGTCGACGTCAAGGAATGGATCACTAGACAATGTTTCTGCTAATACTAGAAGTGTTCCTGGGACATATTCAACTATTCAATTATAAAATTAAGCATTTAACATCTTTTTTTGTGTTCTAATAGGTACTGTAAGTAAGGGTTTTTTTGAAAAGTGAATCTAATGGTTTATGATAAGTTTGAAAAATTCAAAAAGTTCAAAAGTTTAAATTTTGAAAGTTTGTCTATGAATTCGTTGACAACCGAAGAAAATGGCATAAAGTTCTTTCTCAATAATTGTTTAGATTGACTTATGAGACTGCGAAGCATAAACGCAAGGTTTCCTATTTTGCATTATAACTGCTCCTACTGCATATTGTGATGCAACAACAGATAAATTGATTGATAATAACGGATTCCCAAAAAGCGTGGAATATCGATTATTGTCCCAGCTCTGTCAAGTTCAGGTTTATCACATTCGCTATTAAAAATTTGACCAAAAAGTAGGAAGAGGATAATGTGACCTATTGAAGGCTTTATTCAGATTTCTTTTGTCCAGACCTATTATTCTACTTAATTACAGTGACAATCGAATTAACCCGTTCCATAGGTGTATAATAGAAGGAACTACTTTATCATTTATAGACATACATACTTTTCGACGTTTATTGTTAATTAATAATAGATTTAATTTTTTTTAAGATTTGAAAAGTTATTTTTTTATGGTATGTTAACCTGGATACCAATGTCCAGCTCACACTTTATAACTATACCGTTAAAAGACAAATCAACTAATCAAAATAGAACATTCTTACCACTATAATAGTACCGACAAAATAACTCTCTGAGGGGGACCCACTTATTTCATAACCATGACAGATCTTGCAGCTTTTGACTTGAAATTAGTAAAATGATTAAAGCGTTTACAATTATTACTATAACATTATACCTCTAAAGTAGAATATTTTAAAATTTATATTTTTGTCTTGCGTGTATGATTATTAGAATTATCATTTTTTTTATTGAAATATCAGCTAAGCTTATTATTTCTACAATAATAATCAGAAACTCAAAATTATTATATACAAAAGATGACGATATTTTCAATGCAGGAGAGATGACTTAACATTAATTATTTACAATATGATGACGGATAATGGGGATGGATGAACAATTAAGTATAAAGTTAATGTTAAAGGGATTAATTTTACAGGAAAGAAGAGTGGTGGTGAGAGGGACCCAAAAATAGGAAATGGCAGGACACGAGAGCAGATGAGTGAAGTCAACGGCAAATTCATCGTCGTGACGAGGGCAAAATGGGGAATCATTAAGAGAGATGTGATATGGGAGTAGGTTATGACTAGATCTCAAATGACTGAAGCAGATCTTTTCTTTTCTTGATAGGGGGAGGTAATAAAACCATGATAGTTTGTTAGGTGAGTAGGTAGTATTATTATTATAGAATTCATTAGAATCTACCGTAGTATCTATGTTTTAATTGTTTTTGTACCGTGTGTAGGACGACTCTCTATTTTAACTCTTTTGAGCTAAATGCTGATTGAATATTGTATAAACTATTTTTTGAATTGACTCTTTCCTTGACTGAACAGCTAAAACATTCTCACTTGGATTGATTTCCTCTGTACGTTGCCTACAAAACTTCATTTACAAATATATTTCTTATGACTTTTTTACTGCTAATTTATCTTCTCTTAATAAGCTTTATTTAATATGAAGCAAATTATTATATATACCACTTATTAAGAAATCTTTAATTAGGCTCTCCTGAAGCTTATTATATTTACATGACATACTCTTATTTTTCGAATCCGCTATATATTCACTGATGCTTTAGAATCTTCTTTGCTTTGTCTGCTGACTGCATGCGAGTAAAATGTTTGTTTCGTTTGACGGTGATATTTTTTTGAAATAAAGTAGGGAGTGAATAGAACTATCATCTCAAACATTTTGACTTGAGTAATATTCTCATCAAATTAATTGATTATATAAATTTAATATTTATTTTAGGTTTTCGGATGTTGTTTTAGTTGTAAATAATGAAAAATTCCACGCCCATCGTGTTGTGTTAGCCTCACGCAGTGCATATTTTAGGTATTTAAATCTTATAATTAATCGAATTCATATTTCCTTATTTATAATAATACCTTAATAATCATTATGTTGTACTATATCATCGAAAATCTTTGTTCAACTTTTTTATTTATTAATTGAATTTTTTTGCTATTTTTTTACGGTATCACCAATTTTCTAATCAACCATTCTAAATGTTTTTGTAAATGTTATACAAAAAAAAAGTATAATTGTTTGTTTACTTGCTTAATATAAATCGATTTTAATATAAACAATTACTACATATAAATTTTCATGACAATATTAATTAATTCTTGTAAAACAAGTGATATACTATATATATGAATGATATAGCAGTTCATTATGATCTAATCTTATCAAACTAAACGAGGGTAAATTTGTAAAAAGTTTTATAATGAAAACTCGCTTTTTGTAGCCCACACAATATTATCTCTTACTGGTTGTGGCATTTTTAAAGCTAATATTGTGTAATAAATATTTTGGATGTAATAAAAGAGTCCCTCACAAAAATATTTCATGATCGAGGACTAATGTAACTATTTGCGGTTGGGAAATGCGCGCAGATAAAAAACATACTACATTCCACTTCCCTCTCATTCTAACTTTTACACACTTATAACTTCATAAATAAATATCTGAAACTGGTTATCGACCAGTCAAAATTTGTAATAAATTATTCTCTATTTTAAAAGGTGATAAAATAAATACGTTACCACTTAAGTTTCAAAAGTTCCTTAAAAAAAATCTAAGTTGGGAGGAGGGTAAAAAAAAATTGTGAAAAGTTGAGATCACAGAAATTATAAATTAAACCCAGTGAGATATTGACTGATTCATGATAAAAGAATCATCCTGTATAATATTTTTTGACATGATATGTATCATATATTCGTCTTCCCGCCTCCAAGTACCATAAACATATTCATTATGAACTATCTTTATCTTAAGGGAATAAATAAACCTTTTTTGAATAGCAAGTGGTAAATTGTTTTAAAGGCGCCTGTAGCATTACCGATGGAGAAGAAGAAAACACATACATATAAATAACCATGATAAATTTAAATTAGTGTCGTATTTACAGGGGTTGATCAAGGTTATATACCATTAACAAAAGTTATTTTTTTTTTATAAGACAATTTTATAATGTATTTGTTAAACAGGAAACACTTCTTGTATTCAAAGAAGCTTCGGATAGAATTTTTTTTTCTCGATAAATTTTTTTCTAGAAAAAAAATCATAGTTCACCTTTTTTGGCCCCCGTGTTTTTAACTTTCTGAAAACAGATAGTCCCGTTTTATATACGACAATCGGGTAACATGAATTCAAAATACAATAATAAACCTTGCCTATACTTTTTGCTACTGCACGATCAAATTTACCAGGGCCTCGCACAAAGAACGCACACCAGTTGTGTACATATTTCTTTCTGTGAAAAACACTATCACGTATGCTAAAAAATTGTGCGCTATTTTATCAAAACAATATTTTCTCGTTAGATTTCAATACCTATGGACGGTGTATTGTTTTTCTAAGCGTTTCGTTTAGTATTCATAGATAATTTAACACGTATAACACGATGGTGTTTATTTATTTTATTATGCTAATCGTGTCAACTCCGGGTACGTAATATATTTCAATTGCATCTACATAAATAATTGCCTTCTTAAAATCGAAGCATATGATCTTTAGCGATATATTCCAAACCCGACTATGGTAATTATCTACGGTATTTGCTATTTTCTCAATAAAAGTTGGCCTAGTAAGATTTACTAATCCTTTCACAAAACCTTGCTGACTAGTTAAAATGTCTAAGTTAAGCGCTAAAAAGCTCTGGTGGAGGTAATTTTGTAATTTTTAACAAGTTTGACGGAAGGTTAGTTTGTAGTCTCTGTCCTTAATTTTATATTAATAACTATTGCTAAAAATGGTAAACGATTTCACAATTATTATTAAACCGTACTGCAAATACGCAATTAAGTTATTGTTATTTTTTCATTTGAAAAACTAGAAAACAGTATTTAAAAATAAATGAAAAATTGTTCAATTATTTTACAATTATAAAACTTTACTGCACTAGTGCAATATAATTATTATTATTATTTCATTAAAAATATCAAAATTTACCATTTAAAAAATAAATGTTAAATCAAACCGCTTTCTGTTAATAAACAATTCAAATTCATTTGTAAAATTAATTTTTTATTTTAGCATACTCTGGTCGTACCGAGAATCTATCGTCTTCGGCAAATCCGGCCGGTGACGAGCAAATTGATCACACTCACTTCTTGACCGACGAATGTCGTCGTTTCGATAGCAATCAGTTTTTAAATGAGGAGTATGTATTATGACATTTAAGATTCCATTAGATGTAAAGGACTGGTGGTTTTTGATCATTAAGAACATTACATTTTATTAAGTACTGACCACTTAACCCGTGTAATATATGTATAATAATACCTGTACAATATATGTATAATAACAGTGTTGCCTACTAAAACATGCCCTTAAAAAAAAAAATTAACTAGTTAGTAAAAATAATTTTTATAAACAAAACATACTAATTATAAAATATAAAATTATCACATACAAAAAAAAAAAAAGCAATAAATATAAAAAAGTTTTTCAGCTGAGTCTGCAACCACAAAAGAGCATTTTCATTTCTAGTTGAAGTATCGAAAAAATTTAGAATATATTAACAAGCTAGTATCTAAGGTGGCTAATAAACATATCAAGTTTCTGGCTAATATTTTAGTGTTTTCATAATATCTGGCCCAAAATAATTCATCGGAAATTAACCTGTTAAATTACAATTGGATTTGTTTTTCTGCTATAATTTGATCGTTGTGAATACAACATATCTCTCACCCCAATCTACTACCACTATCTCCCACCCCTATATTCCACCCCTTTCTCCCACCTCTATCTCCCACCCCTATCACTCACCCCTACTCCATCTCCTACCCCTATCATCAACCCCAACCCCATCCCATCTCCATTTCAACCCTCAACCTCATTTCCGTGTGGTAACGCTTTTTTGATAACACTAAGTAAATAACACTTTTTTCGGTATGTGCCTAAGTTAAGTCATGAAAATGTCAAAAACTATTAGAGACAAAACAAGATAAAAATAAAGAACAATTAACATAAATATATCTTTAATTTTACTATTTCCCACCATATCTGTTTACTGCCTTATGCTGTTTAAAAACTATAGAAGAATTATTTGAATAATTAGTTTTCTTACTGCAATTTATTCTCATCTTAAATATTCATTATATTTCAATGTAAATAATAATTTATTTTCTATTTCTCCTATACCACTTTTAGTTTTAAGCTTTATATCATAAAACCTTCTAAACATGCACTTTTTAAAAATCATTAGAAGTTTCTTTTTTAATTTTGAATCACTATCTCTAATCTACAGCTATATTTTAATAAAATGATTGTTAATATAAAACTAACTCTTCAGCAATGTTTCTTTATCAAAATTAAGCAATGGAGCAATTAATATTAACCTTAAAGGTGTATAAAAACAACAAAGAGTAGAATCTCCTTCCTAATGGAATCATCCAAGAAACTGAGTTGGCATCTAATGTTGGAAAATATTTGGTGTTAGATAATTGAATTTTGATAACTTTAAAAGTAGGAAGAATATAATGTGAATTTTTGATGGCTTTTTCAATTTTTTTTGATCCAGACCTATTATTCTTCTTAATTGCAGGGACAAATGAATTAAAATATTCCGTTGGGGTCGTTACCTTTTATAATACTATAGATTTACATATATTGTTTAGTTCTTTAATAAGTTGATTATATAAAGAAGAAGATTTTTTTCTTGGAGCGTCTATTATATATTGGACACTGTGATCAACGTGTATATGTCATTATATAGGAAGGCTGCCTAGGGCTTCAACAATATCACTAAACTTATTTTTAATATTTTTATCAGTATCGTTAACACAATTAAATTATCTAAGTTTATTTTAATTATCACATGTTAGTAGAGCTAAAATTGTAGTACAGTCAAATTCAACTATAGAAAAATCATAATCTTATAACAGCATTTATGTTACAATTATCAATAGAAGGAATTACTTTAGTATGTATAGACATAAATTTCGTCACTAATTGTTTATTAATGATAGATTTATCAGTGTCCAGCTGACCCCACATAACATTACCATCAACTTACTTCATAACCATGACGAATCTGATAGATTTTGACATACAAACGTAGCGTTTATATTAAACTACTCTAGTTAAACTAAAATCTCGACTTTTTTTTGGGTTGGTTACTCTTTGCTTAACGCCATTCAATTTATAACATTATATCCTTAAAGCAGGATATTTTAATTTATGTTGTAGTAAAAGCGTGTATGATTATTATTACTATAAATAACTTCATTGAAGTATCAGCTTAAAACTATTTATTTCTACAATTAATAGGAATATGCTATGGTCAAATATGAATATTAACATCAACATTAATTATACTTAATTAGCTATCTCTGAAACACTCCCTTGAATATGAATACAAAATGAATATAATTTATCAAAATGTAGTATTAAATATAAAAAAAATACAAGCAGTTTATAACTAAATTTATTTTTGGAATTTCTCTGTATTATTTTAAAAGATTTAAAATTATACATAAATTATTATTCATTTATACTATTTCTAAGTATATTACTAATATATTTTGATATTTATTTTAGGTGTTCGGATGTTGTTTTAGTTGTAGATATAAAAAGATTCCCCGCCCATCGTGCTGTGTTAGCCTCACGCAGTGATTACTTCAGGTAATAATATCTTTAAGCATATTATTCTCTTTTTTGATTGATTGGTCAATTGTTCTAATAGTAAAAATTTTTTTACTTTTTTACTATTATTTAGAAAAGCATATTTTTTAATTTTTACGGTTAGGTTAGGCTCACTAATTTCCTAATCAATCCAACCTAAATGTTTTTGAAAAAACAGCAACATCGATTACCTTAAGATTTTTTACTGTTTTGTAATCTATAATTGTTAGTTTACTTGCTTGATATAAATTTATACTATGAACCATTACCACTTATACATATTTATGACAATATTAATATATTTTTGTAAAACAAGTAAACAAGTTATATAGTAATTATTCAAACTGATTGTATGACTTATTACATAGCTGTTCATTATAATCTAACATACTTAAACAAAACTAAAGTAAATTGAGTAGCCCATACAATGTGCCTTACTGGTTGTAGCACATACAATGCATTTTTTTATGCTAATATTGGATAACTTTTTTAGTGGATTACTGCGTAGCGGATATGAAGAAGCTCATAAAAAGGTGGTGACAATAAACGAAGGATCACCAACATCAATTAAAGAACTTCTTAAATATATTTATTTTGGTAAAATGAATTTAAGAGTACTAGAGGTAACTTGTAATGTATATATTTAGAACATAAATATATTTTATAGAAAAGGATTTGTCGAATATATATATATTATGTATTTTTTATGTATTAGAGTAACGTCATTTTGGAGTTATTAATTCTCTCGAATATATGGCGTTTTACAAACTTACAATTTTCACTGTCCGAGTACTTGTGTAATCACATCAATGTAGACAGTGTGAGTGCGTTGTTTGTTGTTGCATTTTACTATCAACTCAAAGAACTTGAAGTCGCTTCAATCAATTTTATTGAAATACACGCTTTGGATGTATTGCAATCTGAAGATTCTCAATCTTTGTCGGCCGTAATTATATTTTATAGTAAAAAATCAATATTGCTCTTGTTAGCTAACTAGTTGTGACAGAAATATTAATTTTTAGGAAGCATTAGTTTTAATTCTCAGTCGTAACACGGCGTATGCTAACGAATTAAATATATTCCGTGCGGTTTGTCAGTGGATAAAAAAGAACCAAGACCACCTTCATCCTGGCGATAAAACCAAAATTTTATCTGCCGTCAGATATCAGCTTATGAATATTGAAGAACTGTCTGAAGTTAGGCGATCAGAGCTGGTTTGTTCGGATACAATTATTTTAGATGTCATAAAGAAGTCCCTCACACAAACATTAAATGATCGAGGACGATTAGGTATGCTCAATGTAAATATAATATGTTAAGCGAACTATGTTAGTAACTACTTTATTCTTTAGTACCAAATGTGAATTTCGCTCAAGAAGATTCGATAGAGCTTTCTCAAATTGACGGCGGTACCATGATCATGCTGGATCATCCAGTGAATATAAACTATATCGAAATGGATTTATGTTATTGGTGTGTTTTTATTTAATAATATTCTAATCAAAGATTAAGTATAAAATTATTTGAATACCAATAAGGTTAAAATTTAGTTTTTTCATGATTTATTTTAATAGTTGTTAATTTAATTTATTCATGAATAAAAAAAATTGTAAATGCACCGACTTATAAAAATTGTTTTAATCTATTTTGCAAAACAATAATTTAAATACATGATTTGCTTTTTTGCCATCCGTATTTATAAAAAGAAATAAAACCATTTATTTGATCGACTTATTTAATTCTTTAGGATTGACTCCTATTACGTTGAAGTATCAATAGATAAGTACAGCTGGTTTCGTGTGATTGATCATTCAAATTACGATTGTCGGTCAATTCAACGTTTGTGGATTAACCGAATATATGTTAGATACATCCGTATTGTTGGAACCAAAAGTTCTCGTAATGAGACTTGTACTTTTAACGTTTTACAAGTCATGTACAATACGGATAAAATGCACTTGGTTGAAATCAAAAACGGATTAATAGGTATGGATTCCATGAAATTAATTGATTCTTTAAATAATATAAAAAGAACTTATTTGTTTAATTAACTGATTTTAATCTATCAGCTCCAAAGTACAATGTTGCTTTACCATCTATGAATGCGATTGTAACCAAAGGAACTCCAAATTGGATTATCTACAGAATGGAGACATCGCTCGATAAGATTCAAAACAACATTCTGTATGATGACTATAAAAACAAGCTTTTTGATCGTGGATATACATATCACAACCTGAAATCGGGGTTTATAGAGGTTCAACTCGCCCAACCGTATTTGCTAAGTTCAATTAGGTAATCGTTTACAGAATATTTACTTTTTATTTTGGTTTCAATTTTTTAATTATAAAATTTTTTGTGTCTGAAATATATTTAAAAATAATTTTAGGTCAACTGTGGCAATAAGATTAAGATTATATTAGTATTGTCATTATTTATAGGATGCTGCTTTGGGACCACCATAACGATACCTACGGTTACAATGTTCTAGTTTCAGTCAATCGTAAAGATTGGGTCATGATAATAGATAAATCTAATAAACCGTGCCAATCGTGGCAGTTGTTGCAATTTGAACAAAGGCTGGTAGCGTATATACGTATTACTGGCGTTCACTCTTCAGATACTGACGAAGTAAAATAATTGATCTAAGAATGTTTTTTAGACATTATTAAAAAAATTTTTTTTTGTAGACGTTTAATTTAAAATATTTGGAGGCACCCGCTCAAGTATCGCTAGCTTTCATCATCAAAAAACCGTGGAAGTCGGTATCGTGGCTATTAAATCGGAAATAGTGCCCCTATTCGCCCGACGGCCAATTTCTATATGGAACTAATGGTGTTTTTTACATATAATTATTATAGGTTACTGTCAATTTTATTGCTTAATAAATATATATATTCAATTTAATTATTACTATTATTAGTTACAACTGCACAAAAAAAAATTTATAAATTAATTAATAAACAAGATATTCTATGTTTTAAGGTTGTCAATAGTTAAGGTGTTTACAGTTGGATGTCTAGTGTCGTTATCCATTTGACCGCGTTATTAGTTGGTTCTTTAAGTTTTTAAATGTATTATAAATATACTTAAAATGCCAGAGCGGCGAAGGTATTGGTTTTACTCTGATGTGTTTTTTTTTTATCTGTATACACTGTAACTTTTTTAATACTGAACCAATTCCTTCGAGCAGCAACTTTATAAATAACAAATTTCATCTAGTTAGTACTTTAGGTTGGGGGTAAAAATTGAAAACGTTTACTTCTGTACAGCCGAAATTTGAAAAACAAAAAAAAACATACCAGTTTTTAAGTTAGAACTTTTACCGGCTATAATTTCGAGAAAAAAAGTAGGATCGAGTTGAAATTTATATGAAATATTTATTTGGTATGCTTGCACACGTCAGTTGTATCAAATTTAAATGAGACCCATTTCCCACCCCCCTTGTTGGGGTTCAAGTTTTTTGTTTTTTTAGTTTTTTAGTCGCAATTTTAGGACTTATAAAATAAGAATTTGTCAGTAGTTAGAACTCATATGTATTCATAACATATTAAACGGAAAACAAATTCGGCACCACAGTTTTCACAGATTGTGTATATTATCACAAAAACACCTAAAATCTTAAAAAAAAAATTCATCAAACTATTTTATGTAGATCTATGCAGAATGATACTATTAAGTTTTGTGCTCAAATACCACTTTTGAATTTTAGCTTACACAAATTTAATTTTTGTTTTTTTTTTGGCTGAGTGAAATTGAAAACTAATAATAAATTCGTATTAACCGACCCCAAAAACATATAATTTGACCACTTTTGAAGCATTTTATATAAAAACCCCGAAAAATGTTTTAGCTTTGATGCAGAGCGGTTTTACTGTGATGTGGGCTTTTTTTTATCTGTATACACTGTAACTTTTTAAATACTGGACCAATTACAAACATGGTGTATCAGATGTGAGAAACGAACCGACGCTAATAACTGTCGGTTGGTAACATCGACTCGTTTTAGGTTAGGTTAGGTCCCAACGGTCGGTATCATAATATTGTGTTTACTAGTAGGGAGGTTGTAAAAGAGTTGGTTCGGATGACCATTGAGTTTAGAGTGGAACCTTGCATAGTAGATTATGGCAGTTTAGTGAACTGTTTTGGCGTTTAAGTCTGAACAATTACTTCGACTAATGCAAACGCGACTATTTATGTACTATAACAATAAAACAAATAATAATCCAACTTATTAAAAGACTACGGCTCTTGTAAATTATATTATAAACTTCAAAGTCCAATAAAATTCCATTTTACTAAAAAACGAAAAATAGATTAACATAAATGTCTAAATTTATTATTCATACAAGTTGCTATAAGATATTGCAAAATCACCCCTCCCTAAAATCCTCTTATCGATGGGTGCAAAATTACAATGACATTGTATTATAAAAAAAAACCAAAAACAATTTACGTAAACGGTTTTTTTTTATTATTCTAGAAAATCATCAATAAGTCGGGTTGGCCATGAATTTCTTAAAACCTTGAATTTGTCGATTCGTATATTTCAATTTATGTGAACAGTGGAAATGGAAACGCACATCAAACAACCCAAGTGTTTTTCTATAGTAAAAAAATTGTGTTTTCGAGTAAATGCTTAGGCACGAATTCGATAAATAATACTTCCATAGAAAATCGTACATATAAATCTTTCTTTACTTTTGAATAATAATTATTATAAAAGCTACAAAAATTCTATTATTTTAGGATAAAACTAGTGTCCTGTCTTTAATGAATCAATCAATTTTCTAGTGTATTTTGATTTATCGAAATAGTAGAATAACATGTTTTTGTAATATGCTCGAAGGTACACGTGTATTAATATTGGGTGTTTGCTTTACTACGATTTATCATTTTGTTTTTTTTATCGATGTGCAAAATGAAGTCATAGGAAACGAATTTAACAAATTAACGGCCGGAAAGGCATACAACTTTTCCTAAGGGTCTAAAAAGTTCTTTAAGTTCCTGGCGTGCAAGTTGTAAAATGTATTATCTACATTTCCTTTTTTTATGTAATGGTATATTAGATCAAAATTGTCTTTATCATAATTTAATAGGTAAATGAAAAAAAAGGGTTAAGGGAACAAATGCCCTCGTTTCCGGCCAGACGACATGAATTGACCTTTAACCCAATCAACGTTTCTGTAATAAATTTCTTGGGGTTTTCGGTTAAAAAAAAAAAATATATTACTGCTACAATTTTTTTTAACTTAAGCATAATAAATCAAGACTGTTTCAACTTGATAATAATTCTTAACCAGATGACACTGGTGAAATAGCAACAAATTGCCACATTTTGTCTTGTAACCATATATTAATAATTTAAAAATAAAAAAGAAAATTACCACATTTCTCATTACGGCTTATAAAATATTTAAGATGGTAAACTGGCACAACAAACAAATTTGGCAGTTTAGTTTGTTAATAAAACTTATTGCTAAATAGCCGTAACCTCAAATCGTGGGGTCTGGCTGAGATTTAACTAAGTAGCTTGAAATTAAAATAACAAGCAACGGGTAGCAAAAAAATAATCTAAAAGTATTAAAATTAAAGCTTTAAAAGTTAAAATTAACCAGTTGGGAGCAGGTTCAATCTTTAAGTTGTATTTCCTCAGAACTTGAGTTGTGGCAGTCTTGCTTCAAGGGTGCGACATGAATCCTACTAATTATATGCAATAGTTATAGGTTAATTTTAAGTGCATTGTCTTTACAGTGCTTCTATCAATACCTATTTACATTTTTAACATATAAAATGTACTATCGGTGGTAATATCACATTAACAATTTTAGGTATGCATTTTTCCCCAAAGTGATTTTATCAACCAGGAATTGATTTGTGATTAGTTTGCACTGTGAATGAGCTTTAGTGACTGGAATAATGCTATTGTTTTAAATTCTTCCGGTTTTCTTTCCTCTAATCCTAATTAATTTTTATCATAATTGTTGCTATTTAAGTTAATTTTTTTAACACTATCGACATTTTAAAAGTAACAATATTTGGTTTGTTTGATTATCAAACCGCAAAAAACCAAAATTTAGGACAAAGTGATACTAATTATAGTTTTTTTTATATTTTCCAAATTTTAAATTAAATTGCTCCCGTTTTTTCCAGAAACTTGCAGAAAATAACTACAGTGATAAATATCCAGTTATTGTCTGATAAATATAAATATAATTTTTAGACAGGTTCAAAAAATTTGTTTTTTTTTTTGCCTGCACAAGAAAAGTGGATACATCTCGGTGAAAACAAGTATTTTTTGGCTAGTCGCAATTGTATAGGTACTTCATTATTTATTTAAATAACACTAGAAAATGGACTGATTTTTTTTAATTAATCATTACTTAGTACATTTTTAAGACACGTGGTTCTAACTACTGGCGATTAGAAGCATATGGAAAGACTTTCGAGATTATAGCTATAGTTAAGTTTTAACTAATTAAAAATTGTCTTTCCTTAAAATTTATTTTAAAAACAATATAGATTTGTTGAAATAAAAATGAATATAGCATTTATTTTAAGTTTTAAGGGTTTTTCAAGGTTTTTAGAATCTCAAGCCCCCCTGATCTCCGCCAATGCCTAGCCGGTTGTTTTTTAACTTGGCAATGTAAAATATAAACAGATATTTTATCGAGCGTTTCAATTGAAAATCTATTGTTTTGCTATTAAAACGAAATTGTTATTGTGTTTTCTGCTGTTGTTGTCGTTGTAACGGTTCTTATTTGTGCACATGTTTCATTTGCAAAAATATTTCACTGAAAAACAACTTATTTTTATTGTTCCATATAGGTCGGTACTATTAGTTTTTATAGTTTTATGCGAATTGTTGTTTTCAATATTTCACAGTATTTTTTGTCCCTGCATATTATGTAACTTAAATGGTAAAATATATATTTTCTAATTTTTTAAATGAAGGATATTGTACAAAAAAAGCATTTTTCAGCCGAGTCTGCAACTACGAAAGAGCAACTTTAAACGTGTTTTCAATACGTTACCGTGTATGAAAGTTAATATAAAATTATACAGAAGAGTAATTTACAATGATGAAAAAAATAGTTGTTCTTTACTACTTATGGGTAACAATGCCACTAAATTATTATAGAAATACGATTAACCCTAATCTACTATTGTTGCAAAGACCTTAACAACTGAAATTCCAGAAAATGTACACCAATAAACAATCATTGTATATCATTATAAAACTAGTAGCTTCTTGTAATCGAATCGAAGCTAAAAGAAAATAGTTCATAATTGGACTATTTTTAAAAATTGTGTAAATTTATAGGGATTTTTTTTTCGATTTTCGCGACAAAGAAGTGGTTAACTTTTCTGTCTGTTTTGGCTTTTACTTTTTGAGATATTCAACTGATTAAAAGCTAATATCCTACTCTTGTTTTGATCATTTATCTATAGTCTATTATACTAGCTATAATATTGCTCTTAATCTAATTTTTTATTATGCACTACTACAACAACGTTAAAATCTTTAACTATAATGTCATGACTAGCCTGACCAAGTGACCATCAATTGTTTTATTCTAACAAGTAACAGTAGCTCGTGCGTCTTGTTACTGTTCTAGTAATATTACGAAATGTAAATTATTACTAATGAAATGCTTGATAGTTGATAACCGTACATAGATGAGCTGTTTATATTAGTACTCATAAATGTGAATATTAATTCCATTGGGAATTGGTATTCTAAAACCAAACAATTAAAGTTTTATGTTTTGATTGTGGTACATCAAATTTA